GAGATGCAGTGGAGTAAAAAAAAATTTAAAGTGAGGAAGGTAGAGGAAACAATGCAGAGCACGAGTCTTGCACTGCTTGTTCACCTTCACCAAAATAAATAAATATCTTTAACATGTTTTCCCGTAAAGCCACCTCTTTCTCCTCCATCAGTGCCAATGTAACCACTATTCACAACATCCTCCCAACCTCCAGCCCCTCCCCAACTGCTCACTCTAATTGCCTTTATTAACGTCTCTATGGGAGCGGCAACTAGAAGCAATTTGCTCATTATGTGCTGTATTAGCACTGGCCCTGGGGCAGGCATGGAACACAGAGGGAAGACTGGCTGAAAGTCCTGCTCCCCTCTGCTGCTCTCTGCCTACAACAGGACCCCTGCCTCCATGCTTGTTGGTCTCAACAACAACAACTAGAGCCAAGCACATCTACTACTGTACCTGTACTGACCTTTCACTTTCAGACCAAAAAACGTTGCACATGCAGCCTCTGGATTTAAATAATTTTGAATATTTAAATATGAGAGAATTTGCACCTCCTGCTGTTTGTTTTCCACTTTCATGTTCTCTCCAATGTGACACATGTGTAGTGTAATGGTTTATGGCTCTTTTATGAAAGAGGAACCATTCTACATATTAATTTGAGATATAAATTTTAATAAATTAATAACCAAATTTTATAGAAATAAGAAGACTCAAAGGTTGTTTTCATCGATAAACTGACAATCATATCCGTGTGTCTGTGTTTCAGTTCAATGAAGAGACAAGTTTGAAATTTAAGAATTTTAATTCTTCAATTTAAACTAATGATTTGAAATGACAATCATAGGAAAAATGATCAACATTGGCCACCTTGTTGGACAATCTTTAACAGTTGATATTTTAAGCTTGCACAAATAGACCTTGTGTTGGATGTGCTAAGATTTGAGAATGATGGAATTATGACTGCGTGCATGTATGTGTGAGATTGCTTCAGGGAGAGAAAAGGCGAATCTGAGTGAAAATGATGGTTTGAATTAAACTTAGTTCTTATTAGAAAACTGCACCAGAACGCAATCTATTGTGTTCTGCCTCACCGATCGTGGGACCCTCTTTTAGATCCGGACGTCACAGGAGGATGTTTCATCCAGATGACACCTTGGCTGGCAGAGAAGACGAAGGTGTGCTGACGGTCCGGTCCAGAGTTGACCTTGGTACACGTTGATGAAGCGTTATACAGATGCGCTTTCTCAAGTTTAAATTAACTCAGAAATCAAAGACTCTGGGACGAGTCTGCGTTAGCTGGTTGCATTTTAGCTATCCTGTCCTATCCTGGGAAGAGCCGACGGGGCTCCGTTCCCCCGTTGGCGTTTGTTCAGCACGTCCGCTCTCTCTCGTTGTCAAACCCGAACTGACTAACTTACCAAAACCCACTTCTCTTCCCAAAGCAAACTTGTGTGTCAGAGCAAATGTGTTTTGGAGTTACTGTGAATGCAGACCTGTGTGAGCGAGTGTGAAGGTCATCACTAAAACATCTCCCAAAACATTATTTAATTAAGTATTGATTAATTATAGTTCATTATGATTACCCAAAGCATAATAATAATTCATTTGATTAAAATACATTTATAATGAGTAAAATGGTAAAATGGTTATTTAGCATTAATAAACAAAGGAAAGGAAGTTTAAGACTCTGTTTATTATGACTAGCTTTCCTGTGAGAACTCCTTCTTCTGGAGACCAGATGTTCGGTTGTTGTGGGATCGTGTAGACTCGCTGGCGGCTCAGGTCTTTATCTGTGGGTGAAAGTTGCTGGTGACCCAGCTTCGACCCAGCCGGGCAAATACAACCTTTGGCACAGAAAAACCCATACTTCCTCACGCTACACATGTTTAATGCATTCAATACAGAGAGATTATTAGACTAGTTTTAGGATGAGAAATGTCCATTAGTTTGGTTTCTTCACCGTTGAAACATTAATAGGTCAGTGCAAATATTTTTAAAATTAGAAATATTTAATAAATCAACTTCTCTAAATCCGAGACCGTGGTCTTAAATCGGAAAAGGGTAGAATGCCTTCTCCGGGTCAGGGATGACGTCCTGCCTCAAGTGGAGGAGTTTAAGTATCTCGGGGTCTTGTTCATGAGTGAGGGATAACTGGAGCGTGACATCGATAGGCAGATTGGTGCTGCATCTGCAGTGATGTGGTCATTGTACCGATCAGTCGTGGTGAAGAGAGAGCTGAGCCGGAAGGCAAAGCTCTCGATTTACCGATTGATCTACGTTCCTACCCTCACCTACGGTCACGAGCTTTGGGTAGTGACCGAAAGAACAAGATCACAGATACAAGCGGCAGAAATGAGTTTTCTCCGCAGGGTGGCTGGGCTCTCCCTTGGAGATAGGGTGAGAAGCTCGGTCATCCGGGAGGGGCTCGGAGTAGATCCGCTGCTCCTCCATGTCGGGAGGAGCCAATTGAAGTGGCTTGGGCATCTGGTCAGGATGCCTTCTGGACGCCTCCCTGGTGAGGCTTTCCGGGTACGTCCAACTGGGAGGAGACCCAAGGGAAGACCCAGGACATGCTTTAGGGACTATGTCTCTCGGCTGGCCAGGGAACGCCTATGGATTCCTCCGGAAGAGCTGGCCCAATTAGCTGGGGGGACGGAAGTCTGGGCGTTCCGTCTTAGGCTGCTGCCCCCGTGACCCGACTCCGGATAAGCGGCTGAAAATGGATTGATGGAAATATTTAATTATAGCTTTCAGTATGCAGTTGAAATAGCAGATATTCAAGGTAAATATTGAAATTTTCTCTTTTGCAGTTTATTATGTGTGGCTGCTGAGACTCTATGTGTTTCTTCATTTAATTTATGAAAGCAAGTTGTCCTTTCTGTCGTGGGAAACAGTCTGCCTGCTCTCAATAATTCATCAGCAAACTGCAGCACAGGAGAATACACTCAGATGAAACTTTCTCATTCTTTAGTCAAGTATGATGTGATATTTATTTTCCTTAATACTATTAGCTAATACGTTTGACCCATCACTTAACTTTTCCCTGCAAAAGCCCAATTTATGCTTTTCCGTCTGCGTCGGTGAGGAAACATTCAACATTAATCTGTGGTTGGGAGGGCTCTCCAACAGTCTCACAAGGACAGTCAGAGTCCCTGTCGAGCTGACTTTTCGAAACATCCGTCGAACGAGACAGAGAGCACTAGCTTGTGATTGGCCAGGACTCTCCTTCCTTTAAATTTGTCAACAGCACTGCCATTGCCCCATCAAACAAATTGAAAGAGAGCAAAAAGCTCAGAAAATAGGAACATTTTATTCACCCGTGACTGAAGGAGTATAATGATGCACATCAAGCGTTTTATTCATGGACGGAAATGATGAGGAATGTGGGTTTAGAGGTGGCGAGCGCATGAAGAGGTGGAGTAGAACGAGGGACAAATTTGTCCGTGTTAAAAAGTCTCTGAAGTACAAAAACAATACAAAATAAACATAATAGTTAATACACTATCTTAGACCGGATACATGACAGAATACCACAGAAAAGCGCTACGCCCTCTGTTGTCCTGGTGGGAATTGCTTTGCCACATTCCCAAGGTGTTGGTGAAGTCTGAAGGCAAATATCCTCTGTCAATGTGTGTGTCTCTCCCTCAGTGAGCTGACACAGAAGCATAAATCAGACTTACCAGTGCTGAATGATTTAATGTAATGATAAGTTAAAAGCAGCACATCCTTTCAATCAAGCTTTTGCTTAGTTTTGTTTAACAGAATATTTCACTTATAGTAGATAGAGTAGTGAACAATGTTGACATTAGGGCCGCCACAAACGATTATTTTGATTGCTAACCCATCACTGATTATTTCAGAGATTAGTCGACTAATCTAACCTTACGCAAATGTTAGCTTGTCACACTGGCATGTAGCTAAATGATAGACGACCTTCACTTGTACAATGCCTATCAGAGTCAGAGGACTCCAAAGCACTTTACACTACAGTAAATCATTCATCCATTCACACAGACATTCACACACTGATGATGAGCTGCAATGCCAGTCTGGTTTGTTGGACTTGGACTAAAAATTGAGCTGACACCTGGCCCTGCAGTCTGCTTCTAGCACATTTCCTGCATGTTTTAGATAATGAACACAACTGATTTATTTGATTTAATTATGGACCACTCTTGTAGACACTAATGAAGGCTGAGGAGACATTTCAGCTGTTACATTAAGGTGTTAAAAAGACAAACACACAGTGGGGGGACTAGGGGGGTGCTAAAAACAAGGCAAAAATGCCTAGTCTCCCTTTAAATTGACAATGTGTAGTTTTTACCGTTAATCTCTGGAAATATCCATCAAAATGTGGTAGTAAATGAATTAAAAGATGCCCAGTTGTTGAAAAATATTGGCAGTTTCATAACACATAACTATACAAATCTGTTAAATACATGGAGCGGGTCGTAGTCTCTGGGCGAAGCCATATTGGATGCCATGTTTCCTTCAACGGAAGCCCTTGAGGACAAAACACATTTACTGATTTGTTACAAATGGTTACAAAACTTTCACCAATAATAAACATTGTTTTACACATTTACCTCTTCACTCATTGCCAGTGATGAAAGGGAGTCTCATGTTGATGTTATTTTGCTGGAGGTTGCGCTCTCAGGGATTTTTTACCCTAATGGCCATCCGTTGGTAAGGTCTTGCTCAAACACAAAAATACTGCTTGCTTGCATTGTTTTAGGTAAAGGTATTTAGGGAAATTACACACTGCCACTTTAAGCTCATCATAATTGTTTGGACTTTTCCAGTGAAGCAATGGCCGATTTCAAACACCGTACTGCGCATGTGTGTCAAGGGCAGGAAAAGCAACAGAATGTAGCAGCAGTTTTAAATAATGAACGATGACTTCAAGTATTAAATATGTCATCAATAATTTGGGTAGTCAATGTAAATGTGACTAATCAATACATTTTGGCAGCAGTAGTTTACATTCATCAATATGAATAATCTGTTGTGATCGTCTACAGATCCCGTCTGTTAGCTGCATGTGGAGCTTCAGGTGAGAGTCAGCCTGCTGCCACGACAGCTGCTTCTGAAAAAGAAAAGCAAGAGCAAAGGTAATCCAGTCTTCTAAGTTGATAAAAGCTTCTTTTCATAATTTTATTGGCTAAATTTTACACTTTAGACAACTTTTATCAACATTTAGAAACTGTTTTCTTACTAGTCCTATCTTGAATGTTTACTTAATAGAATAACCTGCTCTGCCATTCGTCTACCTTCTATTTAGAAATAAATAATGTCCTTGACTTTCATATTTTCATCAGTCCTATAATTTGGTTACTTTTTAAGGGTTTTAATGCAGTCTTCACACTGCAGCAGACTTCGTCCTTGTCAAACCACAAATGGTATCTGGAACTGACGAGTTTGGGAAAACGCTCACACAGAACTATTTTCTGCTCGCTTTAGTTTGGGAGATAAAATCACTTTCAGTGCCCCTGAATGCTGCTGGGAAGTATGCAAAGAGCTTCGGCCAATCCATTAAGGATATTTTCATGTAAATACCAGCCCCACATTTTGCATAATGCTGTAAATAAAAGCATTCCTGCAAAATTCCCAATAGAAGAGCTCAGATGAACGTCATTTCATTGAAAACTCTGCTTGATCTTTACTTTGCATCGTCTTTCTCCTCCTTCATTCCGTAATCTTGTGACTCGACACACAGAATATGAAATATGTATCAGAGCGTCCTCTGCTGATGGCATGATTCAACACGTTTTTGTTACTTGAGTTTGAGATAATAGTTTCAAGCATTGTGCAGGACGAAATTGCCGTGGCAACAGTCTTCATGTCCTGTCGGTGGAATGGCGTTATTATGATATATTTATTAGACTAAACTTTGTGGAGGAATACGTTTGATTTCTTTGATGAAGCTTACAAAGCGTGGAGGGAGGTGCGTTTCAGTAGTTAAGAGTTCCACTACAATTTTTTTAACTATCTCCCTGTAGATGGGAGCGGTTTCAGCTGAGCTAAACCTCCAACAAGCATCGCCTCTTCTCACTGTGCGTTCATGAACTCACAGGTGCATATCGGTTGCTCCCTAATCTGTCTAGATTAGAGATTGGGCAGGAAACAATTGCCCAGGTCATCTGTTGGTACTTTTTCCTTATTTTCCAGCATGGCCAATTCTTGCTGTTTCAGACTAGCAAGGAAATGAACAAGCGGACCCCAGGCCCAGATTGAACTGTGCGGTAATCCTCCCTAAAGCTTGGCCAGCTCACTGATTGCCTTCATTTTTCAGTGTCACCGGCAGGAGAGCCAAGGCAGTGTACCCATGTGAGGCAGAGCACGACTCGGAGCTCTCCTTCCAGGTCGGCGCGATATTCAGCGCTGGTAAGTGTTATCGCCCGGACCAGTCGCTCACTCAGAACCTGCTTGAGAATATTGGATTTAGAAGTGGGATGGGGGGACTGAGCACCCAATCTGATCTTGAGTTGAGGAGAGAAACGAGGAGAGGTGGAACGGTGAGGGGTTAGGTAGGAGACACAAGCTAACTTTAAGGAAAAAGCTTGTCTGAGCTTTAATCATTACAGGAATCAACATAAACCTTTGTTTGTCAAACTCTATTTTAAATAGACTTATAGTGTGTTTTCAGTTTTTAAACATGTATCCGTGTTTTTGATGAGTGATCCAAGGCTTCAGAGCACGCTACTGACACTATTGCTCTGTAAAATCGAATTGTTAAAGGGGCATTATGGAAGTTTGACAGCCAAAACGTGTATAGAAATAATAAATTTCTTCTTAATACATTCTCCTGCAATGCCCTGGTCCTGTAGAATGAGCCCTGGCATTTTTATTGTGATTGCCTGTTTTTCTGTAAAATCACAGAAAAAGAGAGCTGCTAGGGTCGAGCAGGCTGCTTCATGCACGTTCACGCTCAGGCGTAGCCCTCCGAACCGTTCTTTGAATGTTGTTTCAGCTGTCATCAAGGATATAAATGTTACAGATACAGAAGACGCCACTGGCGATTTAGCTTGCCTTGTAAGATTTTGGGCTTTTGTGCAGAAGACCCGGGTTCGATTCTGGACGTGAACATAGTTGTTTTAGAGATTCTTTTTTACATTAATGATATATTTTTTTACAGTAAGATGCCCAAATTTTTATTTGAGACTCGTCGAACGGCATTGAATTCACAGATAAAAAAAAAGATGTGGGTTCAACTTTCATTTTGGAACATTTTTTCAAGCAAGGGAATGAAATGATCTGAGCATGCAGGAGGACTGACCCATCATAAACCTTTGTCGGCTGTGCTGAAGAGAAAGGTACAGAACCAAATTATTTAATTAATTAGCTGCACGTTCTCCTGTCCTCTGTCCTCCGGGCCACACTCACACACACACACACACACACACACACACACACACACACACACACACACACACAAGGACACACACACACACACACACACACACACACACACACACACACACACACACACACACACACACAAGGACACACACAAGGGACTGTCAGCTCTCAGAGCTCTGTGAAGCTGACCCCAGTCAGCTTCACAGAGCTTCGTCTCAGCTGTTATTTTCGTTAAAGTGTGTGCACGTACAGCATGCGCGCCTCGTGCACGAGCCTCCTATTGAAGCTGTCGTTACGCTTTTGGCCTGAGGGGGCAATTGCGAGCATAAAAATTCAAAACTCCGTAAAGACCCTTTAAAGTCTAACCAATAAAATTTGTGTTGTTACGGCTGGTGCCTGTGTAACAATTTTCACTAAGGTTATTTAAGTGAATCTTACCCACAACCTTTTAGTATATTTTACCAGAAATTGACATCTAAAAAGTATGTGAAAAGATTTGTTCAATTCAAATACCCTTTTTTTGAGTATTATTTAGCATTTCCAAAAAAAGTAGTTTTTACAGTGTACTTAACTATGACCAAATCAAGTTGAGATGTAAATATATTTTTAGTACTTAAAAAATAATCTTTACTGTGCAACTTTTTGCACAAAAGAAAAAAAAATAATTCCAGCTCTCCTGCATTTCCTGAAAGTGTCACCTGATCCCATCTTCACAGTAGTGGATGTATTTGGAAAGAGAGGTGCTTTTATTTTCCTCTTGTAAATGCCTGCAGCATATTTTTTATTATTTTATTTTATTTCTTGCTGTGTTTTTATTGAGGAAAAACAACCTCAAAATACAAATATATATATATATATATATATATATATATATAAGTATATTGTGAAGGAGTTGTGCTTTTACATTTTAGATACTGGAATTTGTCATTTTTCTATTTTATTGAATTAAGCTTGAGCAAAAGTGAGATTTCATTGAGCTGGAACTCCTTGATCTCAAGGAACAAAAACTTTTGTTACAAAGAATTCTACAGGAGACATCAGCATCAGTGGAATATCCGTCCACCGACACTATTGTTGGGCCGACCAATCACAGACATGCGCTCTCCGTTGCATTAGACAGATAGTTAAAAAACTGGGCTTGACTCAGTTCGTTCTTGAGTGCCCTTGGGGAGCCCTTGCATCAACAAATAACTGCGTCACTGCTCGTAGAAATATAAACTAGGCTTTACCCTGTCTGTTGACCCCACCGCCACCCATCACCCTCCCCCTGTGGTATTGTCCCCATGGTGACTCTGTTGTCCTCCCATGTAGTGACCCAGTCCAGAGAACCAGGCTGGCTTGAGGGGGACCTGGATGGAAAGAGGGGCCTCATCCCTGAAAACTACGTGGAGATGCTGTAAAACCAAATATAAAAAATAGAAATATTTATATTTATGGACACATTTCTGGCATTCACCAAGGATTCACCGTTGACCTTTTTTCAACATGAGTTACTGTAACTCAATCTAGACACATAGATTTTGCTGCATTTGCAAGCTTGGCCAAGTATTCAGCTTCACCCCAGTAGATGCAGATTGGGAATGTTCTCTCTATGTTCTGCTGTATGTCATGATGCTGCAGCCTCTGGATGTCCTGTTGATGTTGCAGCACCAGCAAACAAGTTTCTACCCGAGCTCACTCTCCTCTACCAACTTATACATGGTATCCATGAGCTCCCCGTCCATAAGGAGATCTTCAGGAACTTTACAGTTGAATGTTCACTTCTCTATAGCCTTTACCTCTCTTGATCTTGATATTTTATTTGAATAGACATACCCATGCGCCTTTACAATCAAAACACCCAGTGGTGTTAATGTATGCACGAGTACGTCTGAAAATGAATGTTTGGCTGCTTTTACCCGTTAAGTTTTATTCTTCTGCTACTTTAAGATTATCTAGCTATTGAACTGAGGCACATTGCCACTGAACTATTATTTAATCGGCACGTTTATTGCATGCTGTTTGAATTTTAAATACACTTTATATTATTGTTGTGTTCTTGTTGCACTCTTTCACAGATACACAGTGAAAAGCCTTCACTGGTGCCTGACTAACCCTGTCACGTTAACATCAGACGGATCGTTTTAGTATCAGAACGATTCAAACCAAATTGCTTTCGAGACAAGTCTGTTTTCAGAAGCTTTCTGCTTAACGTTGCTCTAGTTTCTCCTAGCTGCTAAAAGGACACACTCCAACCATTGAGTGAAATAATTCTGGTTTTCACAGCTGTTCATGACCTCGTTTTTTGAGTTATGTTCATTTTCTTCTGTGATGAACTGGTTTTAAGTTTTGATTTAGTTTAGTTTTAGCATGTTTACACATCAGAAAATGTTTCAGCCCACAGCTGCTGTGCTAAACTGTCATTAGACTGAGAACTTTGGTTTAGCTCATTCTGTTTTCATTTGTGGTAACACCAATTTAGGACAATTTGGGACTTCTTTGCCTTGATTTCTTTCTGTTTTTATCTGTCACTATCCGTTCGACCAATGTTAAATAAAGAGTTGTTTTTTCTCTTGTAAAATGTATTCTCGATAAAAAATAAAATTTATTATTGATCAATTTTAAATTTAAAACCGTGATTGTTCTTTATTTTCTCCGTATTGGTAATAATAAATATTCTGTTATATATAATATATATCTTTGTAATTTTCCTGTACAAATCGTTGGTCGTTATAAAATATTTCACTTTAATATGTCACACAGGAGATACACACAGTTATATTTGATTTATGGGATATATCAGTGCACCATTTCTCAGAACTACAAGTTGCCCACGTCACAGCTGAGCTTCAGACGGCAGGATTTAGAGTCTGATTTCCTGATATTTGGACATCTTGCCTGGATTGGATAACAGCAACGTGACTGCCACTGACTTGCAACGTGGATATGTCATCTTTACAAGCCTGGAGGAGCTTCTGCTGTGTGGTGAAGTTGCTAATGCTAACAGTTAGCTTTAACTAGCCAGAGGTCTGCTGCTGAATCCCGGACAGCAGCCTTTCCTGTCGTGAGTCAAGATGGGTGAGTCCACTAAATGAGTGCTTAAGGTGTTGTGAGGATTTTAGGGTTAGGATCAAATTTTTTCAGAAGCTAATGCAGGAGATAGGTGTAGGAGACTATTTTTATGTTCAGCCTGCATGAAAAACTCAGAGTTATAATCAGAAATAATCGATTAATATGTTTTATTTGTCAACCACACCTTTATGGCAGTAAAAAAAAATGGGAGCTCACATGATCCATTCATGCAACATTTAACTTTATTTTTGTTGCATGTTGTTTATTTTTGTTTTCATCTCAAGTATTTTAACCTCCTGATACCTGAATTTGTATTTGGTTTGATTTAAAAGAATAACAGTTCTAGCCATTACAGATTGCTCCACTCTCAGAAATGTGGAAAAAATAATCTAATAAAAAACTTTGACAAAGGCAGCAGGAGTTGTTGTGCACCATGTTTCCAGATTTGACCAGAATGTCTCGGACAAGTTGACCCACATTTCTCCATAAATCTGTCTCCTCCTGATTGATCCCATATCACCTCTTCTACATGTGTGACTTCTTATGCTCCCATCTTTGAAATCACCACTAAAACACAACGTCATCCTTTTGACCGTTTTTACTTCATTACCAGCAGCCTGCGACCAGATTATACTCCACCTTTTATTCATTTAGTGCGCAGATGCACACGCGTAATCACACTCGGGCTCTCCCCAGGGAAGGTTAGTCCAATGGGTCGTGGTGGTGTTAGTGTCCACCTGCTCCTTGAAAAAACTGCACACATGATGGCATAATGAAATGACGCAGAGCTAACGAGACGGGCCAAGTTTGCTTCTCCACCACCAGAGCCCACCCCACACGGGGCTCTTCATCATCTCCCCTCTGCCAGGATCTTGCTGAACCATAAAGACAACTACGCTACCTGCCTCTCAGACTCAAACTTGTGCCATGTTGCTGTCTGCTTAAATCTCCCTTTTCTCCTCTGCCTACCCATCCCCTACTTGGTACGTTTAGGTTCTGTCTCCTGTGTGTTTTCCATCAGGCAGTAATAATGTACATGTTGTTTGTCCATTTAGACTAGACATGGCTGTCTTTAAGGTAAACTCCTAACTTCCCTGTCCTGGCTGTTCGCCAGATGTCCACTGCCTCCTGTGACGCAGTGCCCTTCAGCCTGAAAACTCACCACACCGTGACTTAGCTGAGATCAAAGAGCCATTTACCTTCAAGTGTGAGAAAATGACAGAACCGGACAAAGTGCCCGATTTTCTGAGAAATATCCAAGCGGGCATAAGGAGGTTACGCTAACTTAATACGTTCTGGTGTCTGCGTGTTTCCTTCAGGGAGCAAAGCTCAAATATAATCACTGAGAGACTTGATGTATTATTGAGGCTGAGCACTCAGCAGGAATTTGGTGAAAAGTGAATTCCGTACATAAAGCAGAGAATGTGGATGGGGAGGATTGAAAGAAGAAGGAAAAGAATCGGTGAGCTCAAAGTGGGCCACAGAAGCTGCCATGTGCGCGGGTGCAGCCGTGAAATCAGCCTGATCCAATAGATTCTGTTTATCTGGCACCACTACAAGTGAAAGCAATTGGAAATCTGGGAGAGATTTGGAGAAGGCTGTGATTCACGGAAAGGAGGAAGAGGAGGGGCAATGAGGAAAAAAATAAGGTAATACTGTCTGCTCTACATTCTGGCTAAGCAGGCATTTGTTCAGAACAGCCCTTAACAAGGTTAATTGAGATTTTTCTCCACAGGCATCTTTTTACAGTAAAACTCCCAAGCCTTGCTTTCTATTTATTTAATTTTTTGTGTATTCCCTCTCAGCAATGTACCTGCTGCTGCTGCTGCCCCTCTTCATATCTGCGTCTCCATGCTAACACTCTGCTTTTGGCTCATTATCTCTCCCAGGCTCCAAATGCAGCTGTTTAGTCTAGTCCACATCAAACAGTTTGTTTTTATAGTATAAAACACACACACACACAGAGGTATAGCAAATATATATTTTTTTCTTCTTCTGGCTCTTGGAGCGTACTGACGCTTTTTTCCTCCTCTCCTCCCTATCTTATCCCAAGGCTCTTTGTCTGTCTTTTGATGTACGGCACTTCTGCATTTTTTCTGGAAACTGGAAATGATTAAAAATGGACCTGGTCAGTTGGTCTCTCAACGCGATTGACAACATTTTTTCAACGATGATAACGGGAGAAGGGGCTCCCAGATGCCCCTCTGGGACAGAGCCAGCTGGGCATATCATGGACTCCTGGAAACAGTGGAACCTGATTTGCCCCTCAACTGTCTGTAGAGAATTCTGAAGACGTCTGGATATTCGTGGTGTTGGTGTCAGTTTTCTTGCTGTTTGGCCTGAGTGGTTACCTGGCTTACCAGAAAATTAATGAGCTGTTGAGGAATATTGGCTCAATCCCGGAGCTCAGGGATGGATTACACTGCGCTGTGAATGCAAAAACTCATATAATTGTCGAGATGAGTCGTAAGCTTGGAACTTTGGCTGAGATTCAGACTCTGGCACAGAAGGTGGATTTGATCAAGGAGAAAGTAGACATATCAGCATGGATTGGGATAGATTAATTACGCCATTATTGGATTTAGAGAGGCTGAGGACCAACGGAACTTTAAGACAGAGAGGAAATTATCTCTGTCTGGCCCCAAAACAAGTTCTTATCTGAATCTGGTGCCCTTGAGCCTGTGAGGCTGAAGTGATAACTCCCCCTCAGAAGAAATGTGGAATGCTTCCGTCGCCATGGCAACTCTGTCTCCATATCCCAGCCTGGACGGGACTGCGAACGGTGAAGGCCGTTGAATCGTTTCCAGGAGTCACTGTGCTTTCTAACCCAACTACCTCCCTCCCCTGTCCAAACGGAGGTGACGAGCGCTGCTTATTGCGGCTGTATGCACTGATGTGTGGAGAGTCCCCACCTAGTGGACACTTTTGTTGTGTAATGTCTGAAGTCTGTTGCATTTCTGTCTGAGGTGTTTTTTGCATAGCAAAGCTACCCTCCCTGTGGAGGGTCAACTGTACATTGTTCTTCCTCTAAAGAATTGGTGAGACAGTTTGGGAATGCCAAAAGTCAGATGAGAAAGTCGATACTGCTTACAGATTGCTGCCCTGATGTTGATGATGTGGTTCATATCTCTTATTTTGTTGGGCTGCCTACCAGATGACTTAAACATAGTTTAGTAAGCACATGTGAAGCTTCAGAGGCTAACCTGTGTCCAACAGAACTTCTGTGTCTCTGTGTTTCCAGAGCTCATTTTGGACACACATAGATTATCAGAGCAGAGCGATGAGCTAACGACTAGTAAAAGTAGATTCATATGGGAATGTAGAGCTGCCACCCATGCAAAATAAAATTTGTGGGATATCACCATGTAACTTGATAATTTTATTCTACATCCTTAATATATGTAAGACTATTATGTTGTAATGTGAATGCCCCATCAGAGGAGAGCTTAACACGGCAGAATATGGAGTCTTCTTTGGACATCTCACCTCAGATCGGATAACAGAAACGCTACTTTACCGCTGACTGTTTGCTTTGCAACATTGATGGTTGTCTTGATGTTGTCAATGGTTGTCTTCTACTAGCCAAGATGATCTCTGACGTTTCCTGGACGCTAAACCAGCAACAGCCTTCCCCGTCATGAGTCAAGATGGGTGTGTCCATGAATGTTAAGTGACAGTGTGATGTAGATCTGTCAGGATTTTCTAATCCTAGAGTTTCACGGTCTATTTTCTACCAGAAGCTAATGCAGGAGATAGGTGTAGGAGACTGTTTTCATGTTCAGCCTGCATGAAAAAATCAGACTTATTGTAATCAGAAGTAAGATTTAGAAAAAAAAAGGTTTCTCAGTGTTTAATTTTTCTAAGTAGTTCATATCTAAAGTGTTTTTTAGACTTACACTAATATCTTTTTATAGTAAAGTTATTTGGGAAGTTCGACTATATATTTTGGACAGGAAGTGTAACACTGTTAGCTAGTATTCATGCAAATAGCTACACCTTGAAATGATTCCGTAAAAAAAATTTAATGCGATATTAATGTTAGAATACTGATAAAATGACATATTTCAAGAACTAGATTTTTGGGGAATTAAGCTGTTTTAGGTGATAACTAATGTTGGTCTCTGTCCCACTAGATCTAGCCGTTTGATTATAATTTGATCAGAATTTAACTGAGATTTATAAAAGATGAGGATCAACTTTGTGACCTTTCCATAGATACCCACTTTAAAAGCCCTGAGCTGTTGCTTCGAGGGTTCTATGCTGCGATGCATTGATCTACACTATGTTAAAAACATGTGGAACCTCTGCTATTAGTTGTCTCAACTGAGGTCATCTATCAGCTTTTGAGCAGTTTCTTGTCTTTTTCCAGGTTTTCTTATAAATGGCGTATATTTGTATAGCGCCTTCTTAGGGTTCTACAACCCCCCAAGGTGCTTCATAACAGTCAATCACACGCTAGTGGGGATGAACTACAATGTAGCCTCGGCTGCACATAAGTTGTAGCTTAGCATTTAGAGGAATAAATATTCTCAATAAACGTTTGACAATGAATCAACTTACCAAAATATTGTAGAAAAATAAAACCAACTCTAAAGACTCAGCAGGAGTTCATTCACTTTGCCTCATGTGGCTGGGCTTTATTTATTAAAGGGGCCATATAATGGGAAATCTCTCCTAGAAGCTAGCGTCTGCTCTGAGACCCGTCTCCTCTGGCCAGCACAGGATAGGTGGCTTAGGCGACTGATGTCATGTAACAGATTTAGTCCAGTGGTTAAACCCTATATCAACAACTGATTCACCTAAGACGCTGCTGTAGGTGGGTTTTGTTGGAGCGGGTGTGGGCGGAGTTTCACTGAAACAAAACGTTTTATTTCCAGGTATAAATTCAAGCTGTCAAAAATAACTTGTGTTTAAGATATATGCCATCTCAATAGTGCCAGTGGTAATATTTTATCATCTACTGTACCTACCTTTGCTCACAAACGTTTAAAATGGCATATGGAACCACAGTTGTGTGTGTGTTTGTGTGTAAATTTGTTTTGTAAACCAAAAGTCAAGAATTTTTCTTTCATGTCTCCCAGTTTTGATTTATTGTGACTTTTTGATTTTTATTACGGAGCTTATGAACAATGTCATCTTCAGTTAGGAAATCATTTCAATAACAATAAGGATCCATCACTTTAATACATCTCGTTACAAAATAACGAAAAAAGGTGCATTTGATTATCATTTTGAGTGAACAACGATGCAACAAATAAAATCAAATAATAAAAAAAGCACAATCAAAAAATAAAACATTTAATCAGTAAGTAGATCATAAATGTACTCTTTCTAACATTCCGGGCGTAATTTCCATAAATCTCTCACGTACGTATGATACATTCATTTCTCTGTTTGGCCCATCCTGCGGCCAACGTTTACTCCTCTGTAACCCGACCAACAGGACACGGCGAGTGGGAAACACATTTTTTTCTCTCTCTCCAATAATTAACAAGATGTTTAAAGTAGAAATGTTTTATACTTTACTCAACATAAGGACTTGCTGTATTATTTACAGTATTATTTACAATATATACTGTAAAACTGTAAATCAGGTGAGATTAAAAAAAGGCACAAGTTTCCCTTTTTTAAATACATGTAAACATCTTGTCAAAAAAAGCATGCAATTACATTTCATTTTACAAAAAAGGATATCATTTTAGACAAAGTACTTAAATAATTGTTTTTCAGCAAAATATAATTCTCTCAAAAATACTTTCCCATTCATTCTACGTACTGTTTAGATGTTTAGTTGTAGACTTTAAAAATTAAACCAACAGATGGCAAAATAAAGAGTGAGAGATTAGCGAAATGACACAGCAAAGACTGAGTGTAACATGAAGTGTTATTGATTAGATATTGTCCTATACTTATTGCAGAGGGAAAACATAGCTGCTAAAAGTGCTAACGTTAGCATTTCCGCTCCTAATGCTAACAGAAGAGAGGAAAAAGGTCCCCATGCTAACTGATCTAATAGGTTCAGATGGTGAAGTTAACGCACCTTCATCTACCTGTTCTCTAAGAAATTAAAGTCACAAAGAAATTAAAGTCACACAATCTTAATTATTTTCTCCATTTTCGAGCTTTTGTCTCAATTCCCAAACGACTCCACACACAGAGAAGAGCTAAAAGCATGGAGCAGTGTTGTCGTTGGGAGCTCAGGCCACCATTGCAGCACGCTAGTGCCGTGCTGTGTTACTAATGTCATGTTGTTTAACTTTAGGCCAGGTCACCATGTGGAAGTTCTCTCCCTGTTATCACAGTTGCTTTAAGAAGCAAAGAATTCCTGCTAGCTGCGCTAATGCCTCATGTCACATTGTTTCCCTGCTTCTGTGCAAATCTAAGCATGATAAATAGGATGTGGCAAAATCTATTACATGTATCCAAAATATCTACGCTGAAAGAGCAGATAAACTATTCACACACTTGGGCAAAAGAAGAAAAAAAAAACATATACAAACATGGCCATACATACACACATGTAAATACACACTTACAGGGCACAATATTCACAACTCCCCCACATGTTATCTTTCCCGCCGACTGTGTTGCTTCTCAGTAGCATCATGGTAGTTTCTCACAAACATCCAGCGACCTATGGGGTGTGAGACAAAGAAAAAGTCCAGAAGACTACTGAAAATAGTCGAATTTGGGCCGAAAAATAAGATATGACTATCATTTGGGAAAAGTGAAACAATAATTGGTTTTCATCAAGCATCCATCAACCATAGAACATCTTCTGTACAACAGCTAAATAAAACATTGTTGTTAATAGCTGTACATATTTGTCTGGTATTAGCTGTAAGCACTGTGGAGTAATGCCGTTTTTTGGGTACTATGAACTTTACAGAGTATGTGTTTAAACGTTGTGTCCATATAGCGTATGTGTGAGCTGTCTACTAGTTACTGTACATGTCACGTCTCGCCTGGCTTTTGTAGAAACGAAGCACCTTAATGTAAAACGGTCAAAAACTAAACCTTTGCAGCATTTTTTTGAGGTTTTTTTATTTATTTATAAAATGCTTTTATTATTATTTCTGGGAAGAGTGTCATAAGGGCTGGTTTTGCCTCATTGCAGGTAAAAACAGACATTTGAACAGCTGCTCTGGAGATAACACAAATGACAGCTATTACTATAGACGCACCTCAGTCAAATCCATTATCAGCTGATTCCCGCTGCAATTGTTCCTGTAAATGCATTGTTTCATCCTGCAACACTTTAAAAAATTGTTTTTTTTTTGTTTGTTTCTGCAGAAAGGAAAACACTAAAACACACCATCTCTTTAAACTGTGACATTGGAGTTTTGTGTGCAAGCCTTCTTTACACTGGAGAGACATGTTAAGCTTAGGACTTTTGCATATTAGCTTTGATTGTTCCACTAAACTTTTTTATACATGTAACAAACTGTAAATGCTAATAATGACTGTTATGATCCAGATTTAAGATTCAAACTTGTAAATATTTAGCTTATGATGATATTTGTATAGCCCTTTGGGATATCCTGTGGTGTGAAAATCCTGTGCCACTGCTTTGCGCTGCAGTATTGCTGCTACACTGCAAAGCTAAAATTAGTATTGGCATATTTATTTCCTAGTGCTGTTATTTTTTTAAGTCTGCATAAGCTGGATTTAATATATTTGCAAAAATCTTTTGCTAGATTTGTAAGCAATTTGGATTTTTATGCATGTGAAGTGCATGTGGACAGAAGTGTATCAATTTTCCTCTTCTGTAAATGAAACCTATGTACCTAATGCATTCAAAGTGACTTATGGCTTAATCTCCTTAGAAAATACTGTTATCTTTGGGGCTGGGTTGCATGGGTGTACATCTGGTCTCTTTTGTCACAAGTCGTGCGCAACTTCTCCAACGATTCACAGCTCTGCAAAGCTTACGATGTCTTCGGGGTCAAATCCATCTATCTCCACATCACCAAACCTTTGCCATCCTAGACGAGGACGTTGGCATACAGGGCGACAGGGCAAGGGCCATCAGGTCAGGCCTTTCTTGCACTTTTTATTCCTTTCCCGTTCTTCATTATCCTCTCTTACAGTTTTGATTTTCATTTTTTTTTTCTCTAAATGCCACTTCCAGTGTCAGCTGAGTCACTTCTTGTGGAAAAAGATGGTATGAGTGAGACCCGACTCCACCTTTGGTATCTGGTCGCTAATGATCTCCACCAACATTTCAGGGAATTCCACTTTCAAGGCCTGTGACTCACGAAAGGTGTAGAAACAGAAGTCCAACAAGTTCCCCACGAGCTGCACACCAAAAAAACATAAATGTTATTTCATTTACTTTTTTATATTACATTTTGACACATTTCATGATACTACACCACAACAATTGCATTTGGTTGGTGTGGAACTAGGACTGTGCAACGATAAACATTTGTATTTTAATTTGTCTCTAAACAACCACAAAAGAAAATGTCTTCAACAATAACACATAGCATTAAAATCCTTTAGTCACATGCTGCTTTGTAAGCATGCCCTGGTTATGTTTCGTCTTCTGAATGATGAACACTCCCACCACTTTCCAAAGGCCAAACTCACAAGCGTCGTGTTTTAAAAAACAGAGCAGGTAAAGATGTGTAGAATAAACAGCAAAAGAGTCTCTAAGATAGCATCCAGGGATATGTTTTTACAGTTCTCCGGTGTCTGTGCCAGATCGGCTCGGGGTCCTGTGCAGGGGCGGATTTAGGACTGAAGAAGATCCGGGCTTAACACACGCGCGCACACACACACTCGTAGCACGCACTAGTCTTTTCATAAAACATTCGGGGCTTGAGCCCAAGTAGCCGGGCCTAACGCCGCCCCTGGTCCTGTGTCTGCAAATTATGTCACAGTAGATGATTGGCTGAACGTAATTCAATTCAATTCAAGTTTATTTATATAGCGCCAAATCACAACAAGAGTCGTATCAAGGCACTTCACATAATAAACATTCCAATTCACAGTTCATTAAGCCAATCAGAAATAATGTTTCCTATATAAGGAACCCAGCAAATTGCATCAAGTCACTGACGTAAGACTTACGGAAGTTACGATACCACGTAAAAGTTACGTTAGCATGTTGACGATGAAGATTTTGATTGGTCAGAACAAATTTAAGGTTGTAGTCTTAGTGGTTGTAGTCTTGTAGTCCGAAAATCAACACTTTTCTGAGAAAATATGTTTGAATTTCCAAAGAAAATGTAAAGATATCAACTGATAACCGGTGACCCTCGAAAGCTCTTGATTTTGATGAAATGGGGCTAAATAGAATACAAGAACTTTATTGAAAAGACACCAAGCAACATTTTGAATGAATGAATGAATGAATGAATGTATTTACATAGCAACTAAGGAAATATACAGATGGATTCCACATTTATACAAACAGATGTGTCTTCACATAAGAACTGTTGTCTTTTTTGGCACTCTGATGTTAGTCTCATGTAGTTTCACATTTTTTACAAAACAAAGATAATATGGTGTTTTATTAACAAATTACACTTATCAAAAAACATTTAGGTGGTAACAAACTAGAATTTATGAACAAAACTGCTGATGCTTTTCTAAAATGTATGTATGAAAGCCGAGTGGATTTGCCATAATGTGACGTCATCAGCAAGCGCAGGACCCCAAGCAGATCTGGTACCGACACCGAACAGCAATAATCCTAAAAACATACCATTTTATGTGCACTAATTTCCTGCCTTTTTTTTTTTTTACATATTTGTTCAAGATTTTTTCAAGATCAAGAAGAAAACCTAGTTAAGCTGTTTGGTTTCCACATTTGCTAATATGGTTTATTTTTCTTAAGTTAGAATAATCTTATGGTCAATATAAAACATGTTTATGAAGTTCTTTGCACTAAATCCCTCTCACAAAAAGCAATTGCAGCAGTTTTATTCTTGACAATTTCAGTACCTTCCAGAATGACCTGATTCAGGGCTCTATCACTTTAAGAAAACAAGCTGGAGGTGTCACGCCCACTAATCCCTCCACTCAGGCTGCAATAAGCTGAGAAGCTCCGATACGTGGGATGGGTTTGGAGTAGTTGCTCCTTCATTAGCTCTCTCTTGAATATGAGATGGTTATATTCTAATTTCCCCATTTGTGACATCACAATCTGGGCATTTTTAAAACTGCTTGTTTTAGATACAAAACCAAACGCTGAAAAAATTATTGGAAGAATGGGTTTTTTCACACAGGGTTTAAAGAGGAAGTAGAGACCCACAAAGGAATGCAAAAATGAGTTTTGTATAATATAGACGTTGACAAAACTGTTGTTACCCTTCAGTCAATGAAAGAAACCCCCACAATGGTCACAGAAATAATGTCAATCTGACAAAAATTATAAATAACAATTCAATGAAATTTAACTAATGGGAGTCAGACATTGCTTTTCAACCATACTTCAACAGAATTATAAAAAATATATTAAAAATTAACTCCTGGAACAGGCCTGGACAAAAAAGATGGTACCCCTAACTCAATATTTTGTTGCACAACGTTTTCATTCACTGCAATCAAACAATTCCTGTAATTGTCAATGACTCTGCACCTCTCAGCAGGTATTTTGGCCCTCCCCTCCTGAGCAAATTGCTCCAGTTGACTCACAGACACTGATGCTCCTTCAGCTTGAATTTCCCCTTTATCTCTTTAGAGGTTTCTCTGGGCTCTTTTCTTGCCATTCAGGTTATTCTTTGATTGTTCATCAATTTTCCTCCCGTGGCTACTGTAACGTCACAAATGGCCTGATTTTGAGATCCCACAGGTCAAATGCACAGCCAGGTCAACTTACCCTGGCTATGACACATCCTACAATCTTTCCCCTCACAGGAGACTCGAAGTCTGCATGTAGTCCCTTTAATCAGAGCCTACTTCCTCACACCAGCTGGACTGCAGAGATAATAAAACATAAACAATAAACATTTTCTCCTCCAAGGTCCATCACAGAGGAACTATTTAAAATAAACTCTTTTATTCCCAGATGAAGAAGGAAAAAATAATTTATAATTAAGGATAATCATTAAATATTGCCATTTATAATTATAAATAATGAAATGTTTCATTAATCTGTGCTCAATGATGGTTATAGTATGTTTACTTGACAAGGTCATAACATTTGCACTCACAAGTAAAGTAGTTAAGTTAATGCATGACACATAAGTTAACCTTGAGGTCGGGTTCTCATCTAGCTGCTTGAGTGCCGTCTCTATCAGGTATATGACTGCGACAGGCATGTTGTAGCATATGCTAGTAAGCTTTTGTCCGGTCCTCAGTTAAAATACTCTTGACTGTGAAAAAGCTTTGCTTTCCACCATGTGGGCAGTTAAACACTTTTCCAGCTACATTGGTGGACAGAAAATCATTATTGAAACTCAACATCAGCCAGTGACCTTCCTTAACAGTCAACGCATCAGAGATGGTGTGGTGACCAACGCACGCATTGCGTCATGGCTGCTTGCTCTTCAGAGCTTCGACATTGAAGTACGCTACGCGCAGAATCGCCGTAGTCCTCTTGGCATGGGTCTGGCTGCGTGCCAGCATTGCGCTGACGACACTGTCGCGTCGGTCCTACCGGCTAACCCTCCCCAGACTCTGCTGAACCCCAACGACCACTACTTCGACCAGGCTCTCTGTGTGGACTTGCCAACTGTGTATGTTGATGGCAGTTCCTTTCGACACTGCGCTGAACCTCGTTCAGGCGTGGGTGTTGTTTGGTTACACGTTAACCGGAAAGACTCTTGAGTGTTACCAGTTAGGTCCTAAGACCTCACAGTTTGCAGAAGTGGCTGGGATCTTGATAGTGCTACAACTTGCTGCTGACCGTGGTGTCCACAAGCTGGTGATCTGCACAGACTCAGACTGCACGCATCTCAGTTTAATTTGTCATCTACCTTCATGGAAAAGTAACGGGTTCTTAACCTCTAACCGGAAGTCTAAACATCAAGAGCTCTTCATGGCTTGTGATGCCTTAGCGACATCACATGACATGCAGATCTATTGGTGTAATGTCAAAGGTCATTCTTGTGCACCTGGAACTGATAAGGATCTGAACGATCTTGCAGACTCTCTTGCCAAACAAGGTGCAGCTGTTGGTACCCCATGGTCCTTCAACCCCTTGTGGCTCCCTGACGATGTGTCTTCTCGGTCAGACCCACCCCGCGTGTGTGTCGTGACCCGAGCTCAGGCCGCTAACGTGTCCATCACTCAACCATCTGATAGCTTTGTGTCTGTTCAACCTGTCTTTTCTGAAAATGACCTTGGCAGTCTCCAGTTCCAGGACCCTGCTATCAGCAGGATGATCCTGTACCTTTCTGACCCGACAGCTCATCTGCCTTCTTCTGTCGAGCTTGACTCCGTTCCTGAGCTCAGTGCTGTCTTTCAGGTTTGTGTCATGCTGATGGCTAGAGTAATTAGTCAGTTCTAGAGCAAGCTTCAGACTGGCCATCTTTAGCACCTCTTTAACCGGAAGGATTTTGACACGTCGTCAAAACCTTTAACCTTTTTCGCACCTGCAAAGCTGAAACAACAAGATAATTCCTGCAGAACAAAGTTGACACAATAATTTTTTTAAGAAGCTCAGTTTCATCCATCTGTCGTGACCCGAGAGACATCTCCGGACTGAAAGAACCGGCACCTCGGTCCTCTACAGCCCTCCGGTGCCAGCGGTCATTCGAACTCTCACTTTCGGATCCACCAAGAGGGTCTCTTAATCCGGGTACAGTAGACACACAGATAGCGTCTGAATGTGGTTCTGATAATAACACCTGTATAGTTTATTTGCAAACTAAATTCTTTCCATCCAGAACTCAGCTCTGAGAACAGAGATTCTGAATACAATATTCACACATAGGTTCCAGACACCATCTTAGTTCACATCCACTCACAGTAAATAATAGTTTAAACCATTTGTCAACTCTTAAGTGTTTGTAAAATAAATTCTTACTTTGTTTATAAACCTGACTGTCTCTTGAATCAAAACAAAGTGTGTACGATCCCTTAATAATTAAAATAATCTTAGAATCTTCTGACTAAAACAAAAAGACCAAGCAGGTGATAATCTAGTTAGAGTATCACCACTTATTGGTCACAAGTAGTAGTAATAATATAAATAGCTTTTCAAGCAATTTACTTAATCCAATTTACCTTCTATTATCATTAAACTACGTTCAGGGAGGTTGGCTACAGTCCCATGGATCTTATATTTCTCAATAATATGTGCAGCTGTAGTCACAGGAAAATCAAGCTGCTTAGAGATGGTCTTATAGCCTTTACCTTTAACGTGCTTCTCTATAATTCTTTGTCTAACATCTTGAGACAAATAATTCCTTCACTTCCTCTGGTTCATGTTGAGTGTGGTACACACCACATCACCAAACAACACAGTGACTACCTGAAGCCTTAAATATAGGCCCACTGACTGATTACAGGATTGTAGACACCTGTGATGCTAATTAGTGGACACACCTTGAATTAACATAACCTTTTGGTCACATTATCAGTCTTTTCTAGGGGTAACATCTTTTTTGTCCAGCTCTGTTCCATGAGTTTATTTTTTATTAAGAATTCCATTGAAGCATGGTTGACTTTCATTGGTTAAATTTCATGGAACATGTATTCATTACTACTTTTATCAGATTCAAGTTATTTCTGTGACCATTGTGGGGGTTTCTTTCACTGACCAAAGGGTAGCAACAATTTTGTCTATGTCTGTAAAATTTAGACTAACTCAGTGATTAGTCAGGCTAAATGATACGAGTTTCCAGTAGTTAAAATAAAGATTTTGATTGTTCCAATAACTGAGCAAAATTAAAAGGACCCTCCACCCCCCTCCAGTTGTCAATACCTGAGGGAAACACTTGATTTCTTCTTCTTGCAGCAGAACAATATTTTTCCTTTACTTTTCTTTTTAAAGAAAGGTCATCCACTCAGCACTAACCCTCATTACTTAGTAGTAAGGGCTAATTAATTCGGACCAGTCATTTCTGTAACCTCTCTCGCTGATCCTCACCTTAAAGGCTTTGCTCTCGCTGAACCCATGCACAGAAAAGTAGCTGTCATTTAGCACATTTCCCACAGTGACCACTCAGTACTCTGATCCAATAAACTGAAAGCTGTTATTGATTCTCTTCTGTTCCACTCACCAATACAGCCTCTTCCAAAATAACTTCCTACCCTCAGGGAAAGAGTGGGATGCAATTATCCCTATTGCAAACCACACAGCTCGATTGAACCACTAAGTAAAGCATTAACCAAATCCACTATGCTGCCATTTTACCATGTCAACATTTCCTATGAAATGCGAGTCGACACCTCAATGTGAGAGGGTAGGGAGGCGACGCAAGGAAGCCTGCTTCTTATTGCATGCAGTTTGAAGATACATACATCGTGCATGGCGTCCAGCAGCTTGGTGAGCTGGAAGAAGCGCTGCCAGGTTTGGCCTGAGTTATTGGTCGCTTTCCCAACAGAACGTCGGAGCTCCTTGATGTAATTAACCCTCATCTCCTCGAACGCTGCCTGGTTCTTCAGACCCTCTTTGGGAACTGAAAAACAAAATTCCCACATCACAGTCAAAACACACAGCCTTTATTGTTGTGATATGATTGTTTTATGCCATGTTCAGTGCTTTGGATCACCTTTGCAGATGCAGAAAGTGCTACATAAATCAACTTAAATTAAATACTATTCATGTAGCTGTAAAATATTTTCTACATCGTTTTAGATGATTTACTCTAAAACTTGTTTTCACTGTAAACACAGAAATAGAGTCTTGATTAGGTTAGTGAAGACATGAATGCATGACACATTATGAAACAGTTAAGGTGAAACTGTTATGACTTTTTTGTCCTCACCGACATTGCTGTAAATAACTCAGGAAGTTCATTTATAAGCCAATGTTTTCTTTGCTTTTAAATAAATGCCACCAACTTTTTATCTTTCAGACATCACTGAGCAGAGTCTTTCAGGCCAAGGTTCACAGGTTTGAGATTCATATTTTTTATGAAAATTTTCAATTTAAATGAAACACACAGTAAGAATAGTTACTGTTTAATCCACATTATAAATCCAAAATAACATACATGTAGCATGAAGTTAAGCAGGATAACATGAAAGGATCAGGGAAAACTAAAAGGGACCCAAAATAAATGGTGAAAGGGAACAATAAAAAACAAGTGAACAGAAATTACGTGTCAAAGTGGGGAAAAAAACAGACACCCCCCTTCACTGTGATGTAAGACAACCGATATGCTCGCCATAACCTTTTAGAACCTGACTGGACTGGTGCCAATTTGGTATGAAAAGATTTTCTCCAATGATCCTACCATGAAAGACCGAGGTTGTGCCATGTCCAGCATGGCATTGATGCTGATAGAGGTTGTTGCTTTGTTGACATACAGGTAAAAGTGGAAAATTTAGAATATGGTGCAAAAATTCATTTATGTGAGTACTTCAATCTAAAAGATGTTGGTACCCTTCGGTCAATGAAAGAAAACCCCACAATAGTTACAGAAAAAACTAGAATCCGACCAAAATAACAATAAATAAAAATTCTAAGAAATTTGACCAATGACATTCAGAAATTGCTTTCAACCATGCATCACCTAAATTATATATATATATATATATATATATATATATATATATATATATATATATATATATATATTTCCATATATATCTATATATATCAATATATATATATATATATATATATATATATATATATATATATATATATATATAAAGTCATGGAACAGGCCTGGACAAAAATGTTACCCCTAACTTAAAGGTATAGCAAAGGATCTTTTTCTTCCAGGTGGATCATCTGACCCATTGGTCCGCTTAACTGTCAATCATTCTGTTGAACCATTCACACAAGGCCGTTGTCGTATGTCATTGTACGTTGCTGGGTAGTTTTCACTTCTTGCGCATGAGCAAAGCGAAGGCTGGGCTATGTCGCCGGTTATTTCTGCTCAACAGGTAAGCTAAAGTTTGGCATACTATTTGGAGAAATTCATTTCAGAATGCTGCTAGAATAAGAAGTTGGCTGCAAGGGCAGCAGCTACTTGTAACAAGGATAACTGGGTGCTCTTTCTCATGTGCATTTTTTTTTCCAAAACGAGGAGTGGGCGGTTCTTTCCTGAAATTCGGAAACATCCTCCGCTATACCTTTGGTATTTTGTTGCACAACCTTTTAAGGCAATCACTGCAATCAAATGGTTCCTGTAACTGGATGAGACTCTCAGCAGGTATTTTGGCCCACTCCTCATGAGCAAACTGCTCCAGTTGTATCAGGTACAGCATGTTTCAGCTCCTTGCAAAGATCTTCAATAGGACTGAGGTCAGAGCTCATAGAAGACCACTTTAGAATAGTATAATGTTTTCCTCTTAGACATTCTTGGGTGTTTTTGGGTCATTGTCCTGCTGCAAGACCCAGCTTTCTGACACTGGCCAGCACATTTCTCTCTAGAATCCCTTGATAGTCTGGAGATGTCTGCACAGATTCAAGACACCTTGTGCCAGTTGCAGCAAAGCAACATTGGCTATACTTCCTGAGGGCTCTCAGGAAGATCAGCCTGCCACAAAAACTGCTGGTGTGGTTTTATCACTGCTCCATAGAGAGTGTCCTGAGTAACAGCATCCTGGTGTGGTACAGCAGCAGCTCTGCAGCTGGCAGGAAGGCCCTGCAGAGGATGTTTATGTTTATGTTTATGTATTTAGCAGATGCTTTTGTCCAAAGCGACTTACAAGTGATAATCGGCATGTTGCCCTTGAGGCTAACAACAACAATAACAACAACAACTTGACATCAGTCATGGAGAGGAGGGAACAAGGAGTGCACAGTAGAGAGGGGGGACGGGTGCAGGCAGGGTGCTAGTTAAGAAGATGCTCTCTGAAGAGCAGGGTCTCCAGGAGTTTCTCGAAAATTGAAAAGGAAGCTCCTGTTCTGGTAGTGCTTGGAAGGTCATTCCACAATTGTGGAACGATGCATGAGAAAAGTCTGGATTGTCCTGAGCGTGGTGTAGGCACTGCTAGCCGACGATCCTGCGATGACCGGAGCGGCCAGGCCGAGACGTAAGCCCGATAAGAAGAAGGATAATCAGAATTGCAGATAAAATAAACACACACCTGCTTGCCCTGGATGACACCTTCACCTAAAGGACTCAACCCACCCTGCTAACCATCTCTTCAAACTTCTTCCATCTGGTTAACAATACAGGGCAATAAAAGCATGCGCCACCAGACTGTTAAACAGCGTTTATGCAAGATCTACCACTGAACTGAATGTTGCTGCTAGGAGGTCACACTAACAGTGATTCTGCTGGACAATTAGTGCACTACAGCACCTTTACCTTTAGATACCTCAAGATTTTCATTGTCTATTTTATTTTGGTAGCTTATGCAGGAGATATGGGTGAAAGACTATTTTCATGTTCAGGCTGCATGTTTAACTCGGTGATAATCATATTGAAAAAATAAGGTTTTTTTTTTTTTTCAGAGAACCTGCTCTTTTTAAGGCCATATGGACTAAAATGTACTCCAAAACACTGATCTGAGTTACAAAGTCCTTTCTTTCAGACAATTTGACATTTTCAAAGTTTCAGGCATTTAGTGACGGATTTTCTTCACTGCTCTTCAGCAACCAACAACCCATTCTCTGCTGAAGATGTCTTGGAATCACCAAAAGGGAAACATTCACAGATTTGACAGAAAAAAAAATTCCTAAAATTGTCAATACCACGGTGCACGCTTGGTGCATTTTAGAAATGACTGCCAAGTGTTCATTTAACACGATTTGCATTAAATGGGCCAGGCCATATGTAACCACCAGTGTGTTCCTTTAATGAAAAAATGTGTAACTGAGTAAAGGGTAATTAGAGGTGTTCGGTGAATTATGCTCCAACTCCCACACAGAAGCCTTTTTTGGGGGCATTTTAATGTGCCGTCAACCCTAAGCCAATTTAGCTATTCACCACTATCATTTGCACCAATTCAAGTGGTAATTAGTTTTTGTGTTCAGCCGCTAAATTTATGAAGGGAGATTGCTAAACTGACTGCCACTGATTCAAACTTTTTAGAGGTTGTAGTGTGTAAAAATGATGAGAATGAGCAAAGAGCTTGGTCTTTATATCAATCACGCCGCGATTATAATTCATTGACCGGAAAACCATAAGTCACAGGGATTGGCTCCATGTTAGCACCTTGCTTTTTATTGCAGTATGGTGGACATTTTGGTGAATGTGAAGAATAACATCCAGCAGCTCCAGCAGGAAGATGCATCTAAATGTCTGCAGAATCATTTTGTCCAAGAGAGTTAAGTGACAGATACAGAAGGCTGCAACATTTTAAAAACTGCGGCAGCTGCTGCTTGTCACCACATTAAGAAACATATCGACTGTCAATCAGCACATCTCAAATCAGTCTGAATTCAGTCTGCAGACAGAGAAATGACAAGTAAAAATACTAAATTATGACTTTAACAACTGTATTAGTGAATGCTACCTTTTTGAAAAACCTTGCATAATGAAATATAAGAGCTTAATCAGTGAGGAATGAATATTGAGCCAAATTATTTACATCTTCATATGAGCACATTTTGCTCTATATTTTATCCTCTTACTTTTTAAAACGATTGCTTGTTGTATAAACTACAAATTTTTATATTCAGTAGGTCCTACCAAATCAAAAATAGACAGCAAAGAAATATTCAGATCCAACAAAATTATTATTCAAGAACCTATTTCGTTTTAGTCAGAGTAAATTTTTGACTTTTGACAAAAAGCTTCTATTATGAATGTTGAAATTCAAGGTATGCTTTTACAATACACGAAAATTAGTAGTGCATCCATTATTGTTTTATTTATTTATTTATTTCATAAAATGCCCCTTATTACACACCACAATACAGAAACATATTACCATCAGTGCGGGGAAAAATGTAGGAGCAGTATCTCGTTCATTCCGAGTAGGACACCACAAGATGGAACCGCCATTTTACTGAGATGACCATTCTCATTATTATGAGACATTAAACATGTTGTGATGAAATTTTCTTGTTGAAACTAAGGCTGTCACGGTAACCAGTGTAGCGATAAACCCCGGTAAAACAGGTGACAATAATAATACCTGTCTTATTTAATATATATATATATTTTCTCGGTGAATTACCGTGGCTGCGGTATGGGCGCGGTGACCCTTAACAGTCACCGTATCATCTGCTGATGTTGCCAGCGGCACATGCGCACTTTGTTGTTTACAACCAAAATTTTCTTGAAGCTAAAGCTGAAATAATGGCCAAAGGAGGAGACAGTAGCGCTCAGGACATTTATTATCCCTCAGAGAAGACATAGTCAGGAGTACGGGCATTTTTTGGATATTTGAAGAATGTCGAGGGACAGTTGATAGAAGATGGCCATCCTGTTTGCAGCACGTGCAGAAAAAGTGTCTTCGAAAGGCAGCAACGCTTCAAATCTCATGACACATCTGCATGACCATCACCCACAACTCTACAGTCAACACAAGGCAAGCTAACGTTAGCGTT